TTCAAACCGGATCTATTAGCGGGATACATAACAGCGAGTGGGCGTGTTGTGCTGTAGTTCGCAATGTCGCCTTCAATCTGTGAACTTTACATTGAAATAATTGCCACGAGCTGTGCTAATGACAAAACGCCTTTATTGTCACTAACATTGTTACCGCTATTTGCTGTTATTTACAAACCAATATGACTAGCCGGATAACTCCAATTTAGTAGGTACCTGCGTATATAAAAATTGAACGGACAACCATGATCTAAATAGGCACGTGATGTATGTTGGGATTATAGCATAATACAGAATGTATGACAAGCAGTGTGCTACTTAAAACTGTGTTAAACAATTCATGGCTTGGTACAGAGTATCGAGAGGCTCGGAGCCGCGCTCTGCCAGCACTCGATGACATAATTAGCGGCACAAAAACGGTCGCAAGAAAACCGGTAAAGAGTTGTACCGGAAACATTTGGCAATCTGTACAGGTGGGCGGTCGGATACACTCGCGGAGACACGAAATAGTTGCCTCACTAATACGTCACCATTACTAATCACTCGGCTTTCGAAACCTTTTTACGCAGATGCTAAGGCTGCACAAAATTGAAATTGGCTGCCGTGAACTACTGTCAGAGATGCATAGTTCCTGATAGTGAGGTTATTTTAAGCTGCATGACCTTTGCGGATGTGAGCCGGGTGGAAACTTGCTTCTATTTTCATTTTGCCGTCCACGGTGCCGGGTGGGTGGTAAACTTTATCGTCTGCTGTGCAACTTAGTGTTTTAATTTTAACTCAAAGTCTCGCAAAGGTTCCAAGTTATTGTAAGTGACGAGATAATTTTAACTTTCCTCAATATGAGATTCTCGGAGCTCGTAAGCTGAGCAATGAATAGCCTCCTCTGTATGAATAGATTTTCTCGTTGTCGTAAACTTTGTATTTCCGGTTCAAATAATAATACAACTCAAATGAATATATTTGAATAATATTTGTAAATGCAAAGAAGTTGTTTTGTTTATGAAACTTCTATATTAATGTCACGTTACATAGCCTAACTATTTGAATAACTGCATGAAAGAATTAAAAAGTACAAGTGTTGGCCTCAGTTTTTCGGTGGCCGTTTTCCTGTTTACTTGCGCTCGCGCAGCCGCGTTGTAGGTCGCGCGCACGCAGTTGCGCAATCTGAGCCATATTTCTTCTTGTTTCTGTGTTGCGATAATTGTCAGTACAACAGGTTTTTTGGATAAGTTGACGAATGTCGAGTTATGTAGCAGTGTCTCTGCGCGGCTGCGCTTTAACTAACACACAGAGTCCGGCTCTCCGGAAACTGTAAAATACCGGCATTGCGCGCGCGCCGCTCGACAAACAAACAAACAGCAGATAGTGCAAACATCCACGCGCGCACATTGTTGCAGCCAGCGCAGCACGTACGCTTCCTTTGCCTGTTTTCATATTATAAGCTCGGTCCGCGCTCCACCGCCGCGGCGCGCTGTTTGTTGTTTTCACGAGAGAGACCTGCCTTGGAACACTGTAAACAAATAGATGGCTTTTCTAGAACTTCCGACGGTTAAGGACAGCGACTTATGTTGTCATGGACTTATGAAGCTCTTGTTGTTATTTTCGGACATTGCCTTATTGAAGTACAAACTTTGTGCTATTGTAATAAGTTCCTGTTACAATCTCAGATAGTTCAACCCATCTTAATTTTGAGACGCTGTTATCGCCACGTTAGCCGGCTAGGAAGCAGTGTGGTCGGCAGTGAGGGCGGCTGCGCGCGCGCCGGTCGCGGGAACTCGCGCGACATTGACACACTTGTCGGTGTCGTAACCGCGATGTTTGCGGTGATTGTCTACTGGCTTTTTTATTTCGTGGAAATATACGGTTTAGGCTCGCCACGGATTTCGTATTAATGTTGTGAATATTTGAGTCAGAGTTTTTTTTCAAATGACGTACAAGTGACGAAATACGATTTAAGAGACACTAGGCGACAGGTTCTAGGTTCAGCGATGACTAATCACCACAATGACCTATGCAAAACAAAGAATGTAAAATTTCTGTTGCAATTATTTTCGGTTAAACAGGACAGTAAAGTCAAAACAGTGCATTTTTGTGTGTTTATTGTTTGGGAGGTAATCGTCTTTCATGGTGGCTAAGTTGCATCATTGTTAGGAGACGGAAAGTCCTTGGAGTGATGAAGATCAAGTCGGTCACGTCTGGCGGTCACGTGAATCACCGACTATTTACAATATATAATGTGTCGTTTTGGGGTTGTATATCTAGTATTTTGAGAAAAAGGCAAACATTTATTTCCTGCCGTATTGTCTAGATACAGCCTCAAACCGCGTCCAATATCAGACAGGCAAGCTTATGTTACCAACACACGTTTTTGCAATTTTTTACACAAACCCAGAGACGAGTACTTATTTATGCCACTGCGCAAGAGTTGCGTCCGATGATCTTAAGAAACGAGCATAAGATTTTACGATAGGTACCTGAGAGTGAGCGAGTGTGACGTAGTGGCAACGTTAAATCGAGTGCGGAACAACAATCGAGAGGTTCATATAAAAAATATTTTGAAATTGCGGTGTGGGCGTTCAAGGTGTACAGTTAGCATCGCAGGCGGCGCGCGGCGTGCGTTCGGCGCGTTGCGTCACTCGGCCCGCGTTGTGCAATGTGTGTGTTGTAAAAATGCCGGCGGCCGCGCGAAATGGCCTGCCCTGAACCCCAGCGCCACTGTGATAAGGGCCATTTTACCGCGGTACCTAACTTGCTAAATAGTATTTCACATTCGTTTTTTACTGTGACACCGTTTAGCGAAATGATAGCCCAATGATGTACTACGTTTGTTCGTTCACTGCTCTTTTTGAACTTATAAGTAACATAGTGTAACTTTACATTGGGAATTTACACGTGACATGTTCTGGCAAATGGCGGGTGTGTGTCCGTCGTATAAACATCAATATGATTAACATTTTAAAAGGCAAAACACTCGATTTCCTGTACAATAAAATGTCAGTTGGGTTTCGTAACATCCGTCGACGAGTGCCAATAAAACGGACAGGACTATTTGGTAACTACAGATATTTATCATTAACAGCCAAATTGAGATTTTACACAATATATTAAAGTTGCTCCGTGTTAAGGTCTGACGAAATCCGTTTTACTTACTAATCCAAAATTGAAGTAGGTTAATGACCCTATATTTCCGGAATTGAACAAGAATGTACGAAATGGAGAATGCGGGATATTGCAAAAGTAGCTATATACATACATACATACATACAAGTATGTGATGTTGATCATTTTGTTGTTACTAGTAACTACTAGGTAGGTGGACCAGTTCATTGATGTGCTTATGAGTGTCGGATGTGGCTATTGCTATCTGATATCACTGATTAGGTTATCACAGGGGAATCCCAATATCTTGGTCACATCAAAAAGTAATTTACTACACAATAAATACGTGAAAATTTGCATAAATAAGAAACAAGTGACTGGAAGAATTATAATTCTTACTTACAATATAAATATAAAATTATAACTTTAGAAAAAAAGTAGTAATTCACCGCATGGGATGGCAATTTCACGCGTTTACCAACGTGATGGTGGGACACGGAAATAAATCGGATCGATAGCTCAATATTTATAGATTGCACGTGAATGTATGTTAATGAGTTGCTCCCTTCGTCTGCTCAATTGTTCAGACATGAACAGACACTGTTTTCTCTTCATCGCGGCATCGCGCTGGTACTCCACCGCGGGGGCAGCAGGCTGGCGTCAACCACGCGATAAACAAACTATCACAAGAGACGCTAAGGGACAATAGAAACGACTCGAAAATCCAAATAAATATAAAACACGTTGTAATGTGTTGAAAATAAAGCAACAAATGTATATTGGGTAGCTGCCAACGTGTGAGTAGCGCCGGAGTTCGGACGTACCGACGCGTTGCGGGGATTATCAAACAAAGCTTTATGTTAAGTAGTTGATAACAACACATGAATGGTTTTCATATCAACAACTTGATGTTTCTGTTAGATAATAGTATTTTTATTAGAATTATCAGTAAGTAACTCAAAAATACAAATACTAAGAAAAAGCCTTATAGTTGGCAGTCGCGTCGCTCGTGTGATAGCGCGGCCCTATGCGAAGGCTCTAGATCCTACAAACATTATTCTGTACGTCTAGTTTCCATTATTATATTAGTCTGTCTGTCCCGGCGCGGCCCGACGCGGCCCGCCCCGCCCGGGGGCGAGCAAAAAGTCCGTCTGCCTGAAAAAGCAAGGTCCTTAGGCTACACGGTTTGCCGACAGTATCTAGGCTAGACATCTACTTAATTGGAATTTACTCATCTGTATATATCTATTCATATTAAGTACCTATTATATTTCAATGCAATGGCAATATATTGAAACTCACAAGCGGTTATTAATGTTGAAAGGTCCCAGTATTGAGATACATTTCGCTTTGTATATTTTATCCAAAGGATGAAACGAATAGTTCGCAGTATTTGCAGGTGTATCGTAGAATAGAACTAAAAGGTTCTATTTCTGCAACATTTCGCAGAATCGCCGGCGGGCGACGGGTCGATGGAAAATCTAGCTAAGTGACAATATATGTAACTGCTACCTGCAGGGAAAGCCGTGGCGAGCTTTTGCCAACGTTTACACATATTTATTGCAAGACTGCTGATTTCCGTCACTAGAACTAAACATTCATTTTCTTATAGGTACTAAATTTTATTTGTAAAGATATATGTATTTGAAGACATATTTAAAATTCTAAATATTAAACTATGCAAAAAATTAAGCGAATAGTAGATAGCATTTACTCGCGAAACTGATAATAATATTGGCATACAGAGCGGCTACTTCCTGGTGTGACGCGGTCAAAGTGTACAGAGTCTGCCAGTTACCGCATATTTAACCACGTCGATTAGTAGATCCTCATAAAAACGTAGTTTCAATATTGGTTGAATAAAACGTTCGGGTCAGCATGGCCAGACTAGGTGTCGGTGTCTAATTGTCGGCACGTGCGCGAGCGCCTGTGTGTGTCTGGTTGCGTGGGCGCAGGCCGGAAGCAGGCCGCGGTGACATCACAGACACTGCTCCCGTCTGACTAGCTGCCACGCACTGCACTGTTTGCATGACCTGATTGGGCCCGAGGTGGAACCCCGAAGCCACTAAAATATTATATTGTTGCGTCAGGAGGAACGAGTCTATGCAAAATTGTGGTAACATTGACCGTATTACAATATTGAATACAAAAATGTCGTCGGGTTTCCCGCATGTTATTGTGCTCACCTTCACTGCGCATTGTAATCTATGTATGGGGCGCGTCATGCGCGCGCTGCGAGGCGCCGGCCGAATGTACCGGCTGGATTTATCTAAAATATTCACTGCATTTTTACACAAGATAAGCTGAGATGCTCCGAGCACGTGTCGCGGCACTCGGCTGCGAACATGTTCGTGGCCAGCTCTATTTACTGCACATGTATACTGCCGCAGCTGACAGTGATCCTTCAACTTGTGGCGCTGATAACGCGCTGATAATGACCCTCTCGTAAATACTTTTTTCTTACATATTATATGTCTTTACGGAAATGTGAATCTATAAAACGTGATCTCAAGTTATCGTTTGTTTCGTATTATAATGATGCAATTTCTTAAAATATCTTTATCTTGTCTCACCGATTCCGTCCCATTGAATTAGATGAGATTTCGGGCACTCAGTATTAGTAAAAACTTATTTATTCTTTGTTTTTACTTCTTAAGTGTAGTCTACGATTAGGATTTTTGTTCGCAAAGTTAAAATAATTTGTTAGATATTGATAAATGTACAGGAAACTTGTAATGAGGCAGGAAATATTCACGATAAGATTAAATCAAGTGTACCTCTGCATATCTCAAGAATTTTCCGTTGTGGATCTTATCGGCAGCTACAACAAAAAGCTTTTTTTTTAGCAAGAGAAATTGTGTAGGTACAGCAGACATTTGGCAATGTTGCAGAATTGACAACAAATCGTTTGTGTAAAAATACAGGGTTGAGGTGTTTTTTTTAAACAGAAAGACGAACAAAGGTTACGAAAATATTTTAAGGAAGTCGCAACTCTGAAACCATTATTTGCAATAAAAAACATCTGCAACGCAATTATAGACAATACAGCATAGAGGTACCGTTGCACAAACTAAACGCAGCCGTAAATTTTGCAATAAAAAAGTTTTTTTTTAAACGGAATGCAAAAAAACCGCGAGAAGTACCACTTCATTATTCGAATGCGCACCTCTATAGGTTTACAGTTAAAGTGTTTTTATTGTAGGGGTGTACACCCGCTACCGGCAGGTACAGGACTTTTTTTGATGCAGTTTAAAAAATTGGGTTAACTTTTTTATATGACAGATGAAGCGAACAAGGTAAGCGGTATACTGTTACGGAAACCACAGTTTTTTACTGTACCTACTACCCTATTAACTTAGTTTTTCATGCTCGTAATCGGTTCACATGTTTTAGCGCACATGTAAATTTCTAAAAATACATTTATGCGCATTGGTCACATAAAGTTGCAGTGATTGGCTGGAAATATGAGCGTACGGGGGTAAGGGGCCCCGAAGCAATAGTGGTCGCACAGGTCGCCAGTCTGTTTGTCCGTATGTGTTGTGAAACCTAATAGCCTTGCGTCGCGGTTGAAGGCCGGCCAAAAAGTGCGCGCGGCCCCACGCCCAGATGTGCCCGATTTAAAGAGCGTTGCACGCATAAATACATAACAGATAAGATTAAATGCTCGATAAAAAATATCGATACAGACGGCAGGACGCGCCCGTTAATTTATTATTGCACTAATTTGCCGATGACACGCACCCACTCAGGGTATAAAGGGACGGCCGCTGATAGCGCTAACACGTTCACGTAAAAAGGCAACATTTGTTCAGTTAGGAAGTTATAAAACTATTTGTTCTATCAATAGCCGCTGGTTTATTTATTTTTGAAATTCTAAAAACGGATGCGTTAACGTCATTTGAATACTAAAACTGCATTTTTTTAAATCCCGTCGCAAGTCCATATCAGTTTGACTATTTTCGTCTCGTTCTTACATTACTATTTCGTGCGGTGTGAATGAGAACGATAGTTTGCAGGAAGCTATTCAAAAAAAGAACAACCCTTCCTCACCCTTTCGGGACATTCTATTGTTTACATTAAAACGAAACGTCATAGGTTATTTTGCCAGAGCTTAAATATTGAACTTAAACATTATAATTTTAAAGTTTATTTTATTCTGTCAACGGTAGTTCGATGGTTTACTTTGGATTGGTGGACGAATTAATAAAATTCAAATGGTTTTTTTTCTTTGTTCGAAATTTCTCAGAACAGGTAGCTGGCCAGTGTTTTGATTGAACATAATAATAATGTTTAGGTATTTCGGTAAGCCGTCGTATTTGTCTATGCCAATAATTATTTCTTTTGGGTGTAATTTATGCAAATATTTGTAAGAACAACGACCTTTGTGATCTCCGGGTGTCGCTACCAGTAACACAAGTTCTGATACGACGCGACGTCGGTAACATTGGATTGGACCTTAGATTCAAAAATAAGTAGAAAGGTAAGTTTCTCGCAGTTGCGGGCAGTTATTAATATTCAGCTCTGGGTTGGCAGGTATTCATAGTTATTGCATGTAATATAAAAATGGTGAATACTTTGTATAAAAACGTCACTAGCTTCCAACCCGATCACGTTTGCGTATTGTTTACTGGTGGATGCGCGGGCGCATCCGGCGTCGTCGATCGCGTATAAATAAGATTTTTTACGCACCTTTCACTTCCGACCTGTGCGGGCAGGTATCACACTCACAAGGGCCTGATAACCAGGCACCACATTATTTGGCAGCTGTTTCATAAAATATACACAGATTACATTTCCTGGTGCATCCTTTATTCTTAAATATCCATGGGAAAGTTGCTTTCTCGGGGTCAGCTTTATTGAGAATCGATACTTTTATACAATATTGTTCATTGAGTTCAAAGAAGGAAGCTATGAGTTTGGTGTCGATCTATAAAATGTTTGATATGATGACTCACGGGCCAGTCATTAGCCTCTGTGCGGATTGTGGGTACGGAGCTACAGATGCCGCGACAGATTCTGTTGTGAGTACGTGACACTTGTAGGCAATGTCGCCCGCGGCGGCGTGCGACCTATTTCCTCGTTACATTCGCAATGATTTCTTAAAATTTCGGAAATATACATATAAATCTAGTTACATAAATATGTAATTATTTGGGTCGCGACCGAATTTTGATAGATTCGTCTTATAAAAAATAAAATTGTGAACGCCAGAGACGGGACATTACGACAATTTATTAATTGTATTGTGCGTTACCGACGGTAAATTCACAATTTGTACCGATTACTTATTTGTCTCAATGGATCGGCGAATCTTTTCTAATACTAGACTAATCTATTGTAGGCAAGAGTAATTAATCACAGACTGAACTGGTTTCGATATGGAAACAGCCTGTGGTCTGCGAGAGTCATAGAGCTCCAATCGTTTTTTTTTGCAACAGGTTTTATCAGAGCATATAGCCATTTAGGTATGCAGCAGTACCTACGATGACCACATAATGTATTTATAAGCATTGTTATAATTTAGCACGTGTAATAAGAGACAGGTAACGCGATGCAACTCCATAGTCGGAAGCGCGGGCATCGAACCCGCGCTACCGCGAACCGGAGTGATGAGCGAGCGATTCGTGTGTTTTGATGACAATACGTGTAATGCAATGCTACCATGTTGTTGTAATATCGAGACACATGCCATTAAAGGGCCGGCAGGACGTTACAACATTTATTTTCCGTTTAGTTGACGCTAATGTTGACTTGATATGTTTATGCTATACGCTAACACTTTCCGTCGGCTGCGTAAATACGTATCTATTCAACTTTTCTATGAATATTTCAAGGAAAGCGCAACTTTGTTGTGTTCAATGTCTGTCTGTCGTCATGTAAAACGGTCATACATTTAAATATGTCGAGCGAGCAATATGTAATAATTCTTTGCTCATAAAATGCGAATCCTTAACAAGTTGCTTGTCATATCAGTTAAAAAGAGGACAACTCTAAATTTAGCGCAGCCAATAACATAATGTGCCTGAATATAATGTACATCAGTAGGCACTACGTAATATATGCACAATTATGCACATTTGTGTTTTCCGTGATGTGTCAATGACCTTTATTGATGTTAGTGCAGTGTGCACGACTGGACGTGCCATTGCCGAGAGAATTTTTGCTGATGCATCACCGACTACCGCACCTACTTATGTACATTGTTTACGAAAGAATCGCTTACAGCTGCGCTAGTAGCTTCGAATTATGTCATTTCTAGTTTTTTGTCCATCGTCCATCCATTGATGAATTTGGTTTGGATATCATTTTCTTACACTTTCAGGTGAATATTTAATAGAATTTGGTTGAAACATCGCGTAGTAGGCAATAGTAAACAGTGGCAGTACAATAAGCCATTGTTTAGAAGAATGCTGCCGGATTCATGTGCGCCGCGGATTCTGTGTATGTATTCTCACGACACTTGTTACAATGGGTATAGCAGTATGTGTTACTGGAGTTTCGGTAGCTCTAAGATAATTGTCTGTCTGACTAATTTCTCCGAAACCTACCCGTCGCTGACGGCCACGAAGCGAAGCTAACAACTAGCAGGAGCTAGAAAGTAATTGAGTTGGAGACTAAACAGTTATTGTTGTTCTAACATCCTTATTTAGAATTAAGACCGTTTTCAGATCACGCATTTTAGAGTAATACCTAGTTCTAGGTAACTCAAGTTGTTAGAAGCTATTGTGTTCTATAGAAATAACTCTTTTACCTAAGCCACTTAACTTGGAAGAAGCCAAACTGCTCTGGGTTTGTTAATTAGCTCGTTAATAATTGGTTTGGATGATAATAATGAGAAATATTGCTATGTTATAATGTAGTATATAATATAGGAAGGAACACCAGTTATATGCTGTAATTAGCGCCGGTTCCTCTCACCAAGGAACCTTTAAAGGAAGGGAAAATGTTCGCTGGAGAGATGATTCATGTAATCATGTGTTACAGGCCTTCAAGCAGCAAATATGGAAGCCATGTGTGACGAAATATGTCTAGAAATTCGTTGGTGTTACAATCAACTATAAATATAATTAAATAAGTACTAGATTCTGTTATGAGGGAATAAACCGTAAAATTATAGATGTACTCACATATAGGCAAGCCAATTTGGCAAGGATAGAGAGCAGTCCAACAAATACTTTGTTGGGGAACATACAACGATGGTACGTCGAGTAAATCAAGGCTGAAGTTACGACCTAGCCCAAAAGTTAGTGAACAAGACGTAACATGGGACTGGCAGACATTTCGTTACATAACAGGCTAACAAAAACATGTCTGGCGGAATTGTAAGAGGTTTGAAGCAAGTGTGGTGTCCGCAGGCGCGGTGGCGAGCCTCGTCTGGCGCAAATTGCCTTTGTAAGCTGCCCGAAACCATTACACGCGTACAGATACGTACATTAGGACCTATGACAACCTAGGCCTATGTCTCCGTTGACTTACTCAGCAATTTTAATACGTGTTTAGACTAGACTTTCCTTTGTGTAATTCTTTTAAATCTCTAGGTTTGGCCCATTGTTATGCACTGTTAACGATTGACGGGTTTATTATATACTTTATCTACAATAAAGATTGAAATGGTTAATCTCAGACAGTAGTTATTTATTAATAATTGATATGATGTGCTTAGTTTACATAATATATTTGAGTTAGAATGATAGATAACATTAACTGGGTACAGTTTCACTCATTGAAAGGATTTAAGATAAATACAATTTTGAAGCCATAATATTCTGAGGTAATTTAAATATGAAATTAAATTGTGAATTTTGCCGACATTAATCACCTCAGGACGTGTTTACTAAAGCTTATAGTTAGGTTCACGGAAATACCCAAACGAATGTATCCTTATTTATTTACGAGGAAAAGATAACTGTACCAAATCTTACTAATATGTTTGCTCTACAAGTTATAACTAATGTGAACAATTGGAAAAATTTTCATCTTCATGGAGAAAGTTACTTAGATTGTAATAGTGTATAATAGTACGTAATAGTGTTCATTTACTATTATAAAACGTGAAAGCTGTTGCAGTGGATATAAAGAAAGAAATAGTAAAACAATAAGGTGTGTGCGTAGTGTAAATAGATGCGATACAGATGTGTAATTGTGGCCACCCCCGCCCTACGCGCTGCATGTTGGGCTAGGTCAGGGCGGTACACGGCCCATACATATTTATACACATACTGTACACTCGCACTATTTACACTATGCGTATCATTTCAATGTAAATTGTATGCAAAATGAAGTCGTAGCAAGGGCCGCGTAGCAACCCGTAGCCGTCGCTACGGCCGTAGCCCGTAGCACTTTCTTTCATATATGACGTAGCAAATTGCGGAAAATATTTTTATTGACTTTACTACATGTTAATGAATGTTATATTATTTAAATAATACAACAATAACAAGTGTTCAAGTTCAGAGTCGTACGTATTTTAATTATTCCCGAGTATTTAAATTCATATTTGATTGGTTTCTGATTGCATGTTTTTTGTATCACTCTCTTATTTTAATTTTAACGTGGTGTCTCAGCTGTCAGGTATAAAAATATATTTAATGTATATTTGCTTGCATACAATGTACAAAGAGGATCCCTAGCGCTGGGTCAGTACTGATAAATACATGAACACTTACTGTATCTCTTCATGAGCGATTTCTTGTATGCTTTCCCTGAGATAGCATCATCGCCAGGGCTGAGGCGTCCGGTGGAGTCATCCGATTCCGTGCCGGAGTCCCTGCCGGACGCCAGGTAGTCCTGCGACTGCCTCAGGATCATCTGAGTCCTCACATAGTCAGAAGGGTCCGCGAACGAGTGACGCGCGAATTCGCAAACAGAAATCTCTTTGCGTACAGTCAAGTCTAATGGGGCATCGTCTTCCTCTGGTTCTGGTTTCGGAGAAGCTGGCTCCTCAGGATAAGCCTTCCTAGCAGCCAAGGTGCGAGGCTCGTTATCGGCGCTGAGCGCTCTACGGTCGGCGGCCGGTGACCGGCGTGTCTCCGGGCCGGCACTCGCCGGACGAACTTCCACAGCCATCATATTTAATTATTATCACCAAACACCATAATCACAAGCCCACAGTTTGCAGTTATGTCATAGAGCGTAATGTGTTGTGTTGCAACCGCGCGCCGCGTCCGCCGGCGTTCGCGTCGTATTACGGACTGATGTCCCAGTTTCGACGATGAGTTCCACTGACTTCGTGAGCTCGCTTCGGCCGCGCTCGGCGGCGCTCGGACACTTTCGTTTTCGTACGCGCGCGGTAGTGTGCGCGCCGCACACAGACGCCAGGCACACAGGCGCGCCCTGCGAGTGTGTGCGCCGCCCCGCCGCCCTGTGTCTGTGTGCTGCCAAAGCTTTTTCCACTTTCGTGTCGGAGCTTTCCTTCATTTCCCGAGTTACCCAACAGGTTTTCACTGTTTAGCAGGCTTGATTAATTAACGTTACTCGTTCGTCGCTCGTCGCTCGTTTTAGAGCGATTATGTGCAGGTTACGAATTTATCAGGAAAATTATAATGAGTTCATATTTGTATTTTTTATGTCCCAGTACATAAAATTTATTTATTGGAAAGTGTTATTTTTTATCTTGAAATATTTAAATTCTACGAAAGATATATATATATATATTTTTATTAAGTAATTAGTAATTTGTATTTTAATTTTTAGTGAATGAAGATGCAACATTAAAGATACACACTACAACTATTACAGTAAAATGATATTATTTCACAGATCATGAGTTAAATAACAATTTATAATATTTATCACGAACCGGAACGGTTGGACAATCAGCGATGTTTTGCGTAACACACCGCGTAAACAAATTGTGTGTTTTTTTATCTAACGCTCGGGGCATTGACCGACTTTACAAATAAAGTTGCGCGCGCGGCGACCACGTGACACACTGACATCGCCAGCCATACTTGAGCCGCCGTGCCGCGCAACACCTACGAGGGCTGGGGCCAGCGCGGGGAAGAGGGAGTTGTAGTGCGGTGTCAACGTATATTTGTTGTTAGTAGATAGGGTAGTGCCTACTATGAATTTAGAGCCAATGTCACACGTTCGTCCTAAACAGATAATTGTTGGCTTTTAGCAACGTGGAAGTGTGACGCATTATTTTGGCATAATTATACAGTTGCGCCTGAGTGACACTGCGCCCGCGCAGGGCACTGTTGCGGTATACTATTTTAGTCAAATTTACATTGCATTGTTAGTATGATTTAAATTTAAAATACGTTGGTATGTTTTTTAATTGCCCGTAAATAAGGCGCACCTTAGTATGTGTTATCGATTCCGCGTGGCGACACTATGCAAATTCAACTAAGATAGTACTAACTAATTGTATTAATTAATTACCGTGTATTCGTGAACTCGAGATCACTACGCTAAGTAGAAGGGAAGATATATAATACTGTGCGTGTTGAACATTACCTAGTGTAATACAAATGCAAATATGCTGGACTTTTTTGCAAGAGAAGTTGGTGACTAGTTATGTATTATAATACCTAGAACCTGTAACGTATAGTGTAAATTAAGTATCTAAATATTACAGTACCCATTGGTTGTATATAAAACACAATATAAAATACAATTTGTAGTTATGTCTGACAGAGAACAGCTGAATAACGAACTGCTAACAGAAAATGTGTTTTTTAGGAACGTATATATGGGAGAGAAGCCAGATTAAACGCTAGTATTTTCGCAAATATTAGAAACACGTGTGTCGCGCGATATAACACAAAAAAGATAAAAAAAAAATAGATAACATTTACTTCAAGCAACGCACGAGGAAGTATGTATGGGGGCACATCGAGCTATAAGAAACCAGTATAAACTAACCGTTGAATGTGCGGATAGGTCGCACTAAACAAGACCATAATATACTGGTTTAATAACACCATTATAATCTACAAGTATCGTAGTTTTGTTCATTTACTGATAAATGATAGTGTGATATAAACACAGATTCATTTCTTAAGATAAAAGTAGCTAAGAAACGAGACTTAAGAGTGGTGAGGGAAAAAATAATGTTGACTTTAATTTTTTTTCATATCTGTGGCTCCTATATAATTAATGATACCCTTTATAAATAATAACTCAAAATTGCATAAAACTGTACTCCTATAAATGTTTGTTAAAAAATTCAAAATTTCCGATAATACTTTTTATTAAAAATCATGACCTTGTATTGAGTTCACAGTAGCACAATGAGCCACTGATACGAATTTCTTTTACGAATAAAAACAATAGTTGTGATAACAAAATTTTGCGCAGTCATGAGCACAGATATAACATATTTAATAGTTACTCATAACTTTGTATGTATACTAAATTACTCATCTCATGCCTATTATAAAATTGACAAACTTTTTGAAGACCACCATCAGCTAAGGCAGGCAGAGAAGAATCTCAGACGGTAGTGGAATGAGCGTAATAGTCACTAAACTGATTGGCCATTTCTAACTGATAAATTAGAAGTTATAGGTTTCCTTACGTAAAGTTCTTTTAACTCGGAATAAAGTCATATTGGTCCTTGATAGGTTTCCAAAGGAACCGTCATACATGAGAAATAATCGCTTTAATCTCTAGGCCACCACGGACACAAAAGTTAATAGACATATTTCGAAAGAAATAGGAACTCTCAATACCGAGGGACAATTATAATGTTCCTAGATAAATTAGTACTTAAATCAACAGTAGTCTTGTTCGGAAGTCGCTGAACACGCGCAGTTAGTTAGGATGACGCGCCGACCTACTTGCCAACTCTCCATTGATAACGAAACAAAATATTGAATGAGATTTGAACACGCTCCACAATACGAGACCTCATTTTAAAACCTTCTAATAAAGAACTCGATATATTTATACCCCTTTTGTTTAGTCACAATGTCGTATTTTTGTAACATAATGAAACATTTTTTTAGCTTTAGTGTTATGTCTGAACGAAATCTTGAAATGTGTGTCATCCAAAAATATCCAGAAAATATTTTCTATTAAAAATTCTCATCGATTGTCACATTAGTTTAGTGGTCGTCACAATCTCTGCCTCAATAGGTATTGTTTGTACACTAAAAATATCGCCTATACCATATTCTAGAGTACAAACAGTCAAACCCGGAAAGAATCTGTAGGTCGTACAAATATTTGCTTAGAACCTGAACTAAAAATATAAAAGATAGCAATATACTTTTTCTAGTTCACCTAACGTGATGATTTAGCTACTGTTAAGGCACTTTAGCCACTACTTCAAGCATTTGGGTACTAATAAGATAATCCGCGAAGAATGACTCCTCTACCTGTGGGAAATAATAGATATGTTAATACAATACTACACGCCATTATGACCCAAACAAGTTACTCACAAAGAATCAGCCTGGATAAAGGAACTCGGCGTCTTTACAAGGGTGAGGATTCGTTTGTTAACCTCAGGATTAAGAGGGTAGCCACTCCATAATCTTGTTGGCAGTAATTAAATGCAGCCAGTATAAGTCTGGTCGCCATTCTCCATAAAACATTTGTCATAGATATTTATTTATACATAGTGAACGTTTTGCAATAAAATAAGTTGTACAGTTGTAGGCTGAATCTAAGATGGCGGTTGTTATCAGTCACAGGTCGGGGGTCCCTATCATATCACAGATCGACCGGCCATCGACCCGGCTTATGTAACGACTTATACTTGTAATCATTTGTTTTCGTCATTTGATAATAACCGCTATACTTTCCTGTTATTATTAAACCTTTACTGTCATTCGTTATTGGGTTTGGCTAGAGTTAAATTGTAAAGGAAAATAATAGTCCGTTAAAAATAGCTGTGATAAGGTAATTAAATGATGGGGTCACCTCATTCGTGTGTACCTGCATGTCGGATGTGTTACTCATTTATTGGTCTATGTGACTGTCGGGATTGTATCGGCGAGGCAAATAGCAAATGGTCCATTAAAGCACCGCAAATATAATGATTATATGAAACTTATTATAAAAAATATGCACCCATTTTCCCCGTATATAGAAATTGCATTTGACGAAACAAGTAAAATACGTTTGAATAAGATGTCTATATTTTAATAAGAAATGTGTTTATTTATATCTCATGCATTATTTTCTTATCAGAATTGAGGCAGTCCCAGTAAGTTGCAAAAGTATTTATGTTGGGATTGCCTTGAACTTCCCATAAGGTATTAATATACTTATATGTTGTAAACAGTTAATTTTAATTAACGTTCCCTCATACATCAGGATGTATAGAAAAATCACAAAACGTTTAACCACTCGCTTTTAACATTTACAAGTAATATTCAGCTGAATACAAAAATACATATAGCTAGATGTTGATGTGAAGATATATAAAACGCGTGTCTCGGAGGATTCCTTTACAAAGTAATATCAATCAAAGGGAACGTCTGTCGGAGCCTACAATCAGTCACAGATGATAACACTAAAAGATTGGCTACACTCGACTGGCGCTCGAACCTCGCTCAAATGTCCCAGCCTTCCGATATGTCGCCTATATTTCAGCTCTCATACACGGTTAGCTCTGAAAAGTTATTGCGACGGCCCGACTTAGTACCTAAGATAACCTAGGGCTGAATTATTCAATAACTTTTTGTGTACGCTCAAGAAGAAAAATCCAATAAATACTATGAAATCTAATTTGAGTCTTTACTGATACATTCTGATAAGATAACCTGCATTGTATAATGTTAGAATATGCAAGTTCAGTGTTGTTCCCTCGGGACCGTAAGCGGAGACAGCTCGGCCCTTTCCTACAAGACATTTACAGCAGTGTGCGGTAAGTAGGTCAGCTGTAGGGCGCTGAAACATGCACACTGAACGTGATCCGCATTTACAAGTGTAATGCCTGTCCGTAACATCGACCTCTAAATTCCGGAGGTCACACAAACCCGTTAGTGAAATGCGTAATGTCTGCACAACGACACAAGGTAAATTGGGATGATATTAGCAATAAATGGGGTACTAGACGCCCAGTCCCGGGTTCGACCTTCAGCCTCCCCGACTAGTTATACATTTTTGATGTCTAA